GTGAGTGTCTCTCTGCTCTGGGCTCTGTCCCTGAGCACTGGTCCTCCAGCCGAGCAGCAGAGGCATCGCTGCTCGCCTTCCTCCACTCCTTCTTCCCTTCCCAGTGGAGGACATTGAGCCTGGAGAGGCTGCTGGAGGGCCAGACAAAGGTGAGAATGGCCTTTCCCCCACCCCTGGCTGTGCTGGGACGTGCGGTTAGTGGGGTGAGCTTGTGCGGGAGGGAAGGAGGGAGGGTCCTGCTGTGCCACTCGGGGAGCGGAGGGGATTAGGGAACCACCAGGAACGCTGGCACATCCTTGCTTGGCGGCGGTGGGGAAAAAACCTGCTGTGTGGGGCAGAGAGCCCGGGAAGGCAGAGGGTCCCAGCTCTGATGCTCTCAGGTTGCTGGTGCTGGGGTGCAGTTTGCCGGTGGTCCTTTCTGCTGCAGGGCTGCTCTCTACGTGCTGTCTGGTTCTTGCAGGATGATTTCAAGGAAGGGCCACCGCTGGCCCCATCTGGAAACAGAGAAGGAGTTAATGGCTTACCAGGTAAGTTTTGGAAAGAAAGGCAGGGAGGGCCGTTTTTTATCCGGCAACCGACATGTCTGCAGAACTGAGGATGCTGCTGTCCTTGGCCCTGAGCAAGTGTGTGCCCATCACACTGCAACTGGAGAGAGATGAGCCCTCAAGACCCTTCAACAGTGCGGAGCGCTCAAGCTGCTGCCTTCTTCAGCTCCATCCCCAAAGCCTGGTGGATGGGTCCCCACTCCTCGATTGGAGCTAGGAGGATCCATGCTCACTTGTCCCTTGAGTGTCCCCATGCAGGTGTGGCAGCCCGAGGGAGGACGTCACCTGGAGGAGCAAGGAGACCCGCGGGGCAGCGGCCGCTGGATGTGGTTCTGCGGGACACAGAGCCTCTGCTGCTGCCCACGGCTGGGCGGAGGGCAGGGCGAGGGCTGGGCAGGGCTGTCCTGCTGGCACGCCGGCTCTCAGGAGCATCCGAGCCAGAGCCGCTGAGCCAGAGCCGCGGGT